CAAAAATGAAACAACAGGACACAACTGTGCCACGTACATCATCGGGTGCTGTTCAGAATCAATGTTGGTCCAACACATGACAAATGATTCAAAGAACCAGAGATGCTGATTATTTAAGGTCTGCAAATTGCGACAGACGTTTCTGACAGTCGAATTTGGGTGGAACAAGTTTTGCTCGGAACAGCCAATCAGAGAACGGAGATATGCTGGTATCTTAATTTGACGTATTGGTATTACGATTTAAGTAACATCAACCAGTAAGTACAATGGCAATTCTGAAGACCATGGGCAGACTACATTAGCATGGCAACACACAGAGGCTGAAATCTGATTGGGTAAAAAATAAAAAATAAAAAAAATAAAATCGAACATTCAAATGTACTCAAGGCAGGGTGGCCGAGAGAAATTCTACGAAATGTAGTGAAATACCAGTTGGGAATAAATGAATTAATGTGAGGCACACTATATCACTTTTAAAAGTCAATCTGGAGAAAATTTGCAATACATGCAGTCAAGAAAGAAAAAAGAACCCCTTCTGAATCCGAGGAGGCCTTTCCATGAAACCGCCATTGCGTTTCACCATTGCTTTATTCAAATCGCATGTAAAGAATGCTGTAAAGTCAACATATTGTGACATGATAGACGGTATTGTAAGCACACGGAGTGCCTTCAGTGACCTGCCATATGTCCCATCGGAGGACACATAATAGACAGGCCTTGCCCCTGAGTCGTAGCCTCCAGAAACGTTCGCAACATCTGCCGTCCCCTCCGAGCAGCCTGAGTTACCACACGCAACCTTTGCATGCATCACGGATGGCCAACTCCGCCTATTTTCTTTTTTTTTTTTTTTTAACATACCGACCCTCCAACCATCCCTCTGCGCTCATGAAAAAAAAAACACATCCATTCTCTGACTGTTCTTACGCAACAGTCCTGTTTCACCTCGAGAAAATCATGTGCTCCTTCAATCACAGAATCTCCCCCTTGCTCCCTCCCTCGCTCCCACCTTCCAATAAAGCCTCCTCCAGAGAAATCTCTCGCTCCCACCTCCTCCCGGTGCTCCCAGCTCCTCCCTCCTTGCTTTCCACAATCCTCGTGCATGGCACGTCACACTCAGATTCACCCTCACACACCTTCATCACATGGGAAAACCTCCGTCCGACGGGTCTTGGATATGCAGATTGGCTCAGTCGGCTGCAGCCGCACTCCCCGCAAATGCATCTGCAGCACTTTCTGACTCTGACTGAGCGGTGAATAAGTGCTTACATTGGGCTTTTTTGGATGGTAATTTAGAGGGGATCGCTTCATCTGACCATTGCAGCTATGATGCACTTAAAGCAGAACATTAGAGCAGGCATTAGTGACAAGAGACCATGACAAAGTGAGCGCATACATTGATGCCTTGAGATAAAAGTGACCTGAGTTGATTTTTTCGAGTTTCAAGCAGTTAAAATCGTTTTTTTTCTTTGACTTGGCAGCAAAAAAAAAAAAAAGATACAAGACAAAGAGAATTACACATGTACTGAATTTGAAACAACCACATACTGTTGCTTTTCCCTAGGAAAGTCAATGAAGTTGTTGCTTCCAAAAAAATGCAACGCTCACAAAAAGCGTTATGTGGTGACATTATAAGCATGTCAACAAAGAACATGAAAATATAGCGAAGATGCGCTAACAGCTGACCACCATTATCAACTCCCCGGATAGTAGTATTATCATATTAGTGGAATCCAGAAAAAAAAAACACGTGTCATAATACAAATGCATTACCCTGAAGCGCCCAATAGCACAGTTTATGCTGCTGTTTTCAAATAACAGCAAATACAAAGGCATCTGGTGCATAAAAGACGGTGGTTTCCCCCTCTGATGTATTTTCTGCAGCCTTAGCATTAAAATCTGATTCAAGCTCTTCGTGAACACACGCACCGCTTGCCAACACAAATGACAGCAGGAGTGGGTCAGGCGCCAAAGACCTCCCTTGACTATCAAGAGAGAAAAATAATAATTAAAAAAAAAAGAAATCGATCTAAACCAAAGTATTCAACTGCTATTGATTATTTTATACTTGATGGTAGTTATGTGCCTACGTTGATTCATACCTCACATTCACAAACAAAACATTCACCAGCCTGATTAAAAACTAGGGCTTGAATTTTTTTGATGCCGATTTACGAGCTACTCTGCGCATGCATTCTCATTTGCATTTTTATGTGTTGTGTTTCTCGTTTTACAAATGGCGTTAGGGAGAATTATATATATATATATATATATATAAAATGCTAACTACAACAAAGATATGAAAAACAGTTGATTGTTTTACAACACCAACAGTAGTCAATCAGTCAGTAATTATTTGTATGACTTTATAACAGAGAGAAAAATTGGATATTTTTTTTGGATGACTGGAGAGGGCAGGGAATGTTTGAATGTTTATTATCTTTGTCTTATGTTGTAATGTATTAATGCGTTCCCACCCTCAAAAAAAAAAAAAAAAGATCTTTGCCGGTTTTCTAAGAGTTAATATTGCCCAATTAAATCACCCAATTAAAACACTCCCGACATGTCTTCTAATAGCCAGCAAAATTCACTTCAATTCATGTCTTTATGTGTTGTGACAGCAAACAATGAGGTCCGCTCCTCAAGCTCAGCATCCTGCAGTCTCATCACTCACTGTGAGGCAGACCGCTCCTTCCATCAGCTGCATTTGAGTTTGGCCATGTCAGCAACTAATCCTCTTGCGTGCGCGCCCCCCCCCCCCCCACACACACACACACACGAGAACTGAACTGAGAATTATGCTGAGGAAAAAAAAAAGCCCTAAACTGAGTCTTCAGTCTCAGGTGAGATAGTGGCGTCTTGAAGGGTCCAGTGAGTGGCAGGATGTAAAGACAAATGGCTACAGTGTGGTGTGTCTCCTCCTCAGAATACATTGGAGCCTTGACACTTCAATTCACTTCAATTTGGAATTCAGTCGTGCCTTGAGATACATTTTGATTTGTTTTGTGGTTACACTCCTAACTAAAAACACTGCACATGTGCTCGGTGTAAAAAGTGGCAAGTCTTGTTCATTGTGTTTGTGAATTAGGCTCATTGCGCTGCACCGTGCAGGGCGTTCCGGTGGACAGAGGGCATTTTCTTTTCCACACCCTGATCAATCGGACAATTCAGTGACAGAAAGTACACTAGAATTTAGACCAGATGAAAACAGGTCTAAGTTGTGGTGCAGGTAGTGTAACGTGATTTTGGTGGGTTTGATTGAGGTGCAGGCAGATTGATTTGGAGCTCTGCGGAAATGCGAGGTGGATGTCATCCTATTTCACAAACAAAGAGCTGTAGTGTTGTTTCTTTAAAAACATACACTTGATTAATTCTTTTAAATAATTTTTTTTAAATAACTATGTCCCTATTTTCACGCCCCTCTTTACAACAACATCCTGACATGACTCGGGGAAGGTAACTTGCCGCAACACATATGAAGCGACAGACTGAAAGAAAGCAGCGAACTAAAAACAAGCAAAATGACGACACAACGAGGCACACCTGGACAAGACACGAGTGGCTGGAGGAATCCGATTAGTTGACACAAGGAGCAGGGCTGACGAGAAAAGGTGGGAAGGAAAATGTGGGGATGAAAACCTAACAACATGACATGAAAATGGAACACAGGAAAATAAGACAACATGAAACAAAAATAAATCAAAATCAAACCAAATTCAACAAAAACACGGATCCTTACAGTCATTTTTTTGAAGAGGATAAAGAATATATGTGAGTACTGCTATATCTGTCTACATGTGTTGCTCCACCATCACTTAAAGTGTTCTAAAACGAGAATACACTGACCACTACATCTTTCCCATTCAGAAAAGGCCTCATGTTCGCTAAGTACACATGAAAGGCTAAAAGCATTCACCTCCATTATATCCTAACAATGCTTAATGGGAATACTCTTAATAACCTTTTTGCTCAATAGTTCTGAGTTGTTTTTTTTTTTACATCAATAATGTATGGTGTCAGAATATAAGTGCTATGATATTTCAATAAATCAACATGTCAGAGCGCAGATTTAAGCTCTGACACTGTTACACACACATCACACCACTACTAAACTACAGGGAGGGATGATAACGCTCGAAGTGCTATTAGAAATACTGTAACATTTTTTTTTTCAATGCACAATCACTCCAAACACGGTTTTCAGCAGTTTGTTGCTGACTGCTGGTTTTAATCTTTTATTTTACAGTCATTTAAATCCCCAAAGGCCCCAACACGATTGCTGACCAATGCTGGTATCAATAATTCAAGCAGCTCTGTTTTTTTTTTTCCCCCTTCTACTTTATGTACTTTAATGAGGTGGAACGTTGAGCTGAATTCAGAGTTAGCTTAGTTGTCAACTGCAAATTATCCCCCCGAGGTTTACACCTTCTGTCCTCAATGCTTCCATCTGGCAACAACAAGAAAGTACATTGACATTTGCATTAAAAGTATTTTTATTTATCGTTTTTTTTTCACAGTGTCATCTGCTGGGACAAAACAAAATAAAGATACTCAAATGTGTATTTGAGGTCTCTGTAGACCAAAACAAAAGTGTAGTAGTTGTTAGTTTGGATAAAACATAGGGTTTTTACACACCACTCTAATAGCTTTCATGCAAATGTTTGATAGCATAATATCGCTTTAATGGTAAACTATAATTTCTGACGTCACGTGAATCTCTGGTTTTCTTTTCTGTGGTTGGGGGGGGGGGGACTTTGGGCTTTTTTAGTGACATGTGTTAAATAGCTCTACCACTTATATGCTCTTCATTGTCACAGGTAACTAGTGTCTATCTCAGCTGTTTTTGAGCGAGAGGTAGGATACACCCTGGACTGATCACCAGTCAATCGCATAGGCTGTGCTACAAACTAGTGATAAATTACATAACACACATTCATTTACTGCAACAAACATAAATAAACGCTACCACGGTACATTTTAATATCCCAGCTTCGTTTACTTACATTGGAGTCCAGGAGGTCGATGCTGTCCAGGCTCTTGCTCCTGTGAATTCGGCCCTTGATGCGGCGGAGTGACGGTTTGCCCTGAACGGTGCTTGCAGAAGAGGCGGCTGTGACGGAGCCAGCGGTCGGGCTGGGGTGTATCCTGAGGTCATCGGGACAAATAAAAACAACAGTCCTCCATCAGAGCACCATAAAAAGCAATCCCATACATTTTGTATCACAACAGGACAACTGGCCTTAGGCTACCGAAAGGGAAAACAACATAGTAGGGACGTTCTTGGTCGTCCAAAGGGCACGGTACTCCAGCCCGCCCTGCTGGTTAAACTGACATTTAAAATAAAGCTATAGTCCGGATTTAATGTCACAAAGACCCTGCAGGGGACCGATTCACTCTCAGGAATCACTGCAGCTTCACACACATAGCGACTTTGTTTGACCAAACTGAAGCTGGGTCATGGTGAGAAGACAGTCGTCGTAGGAAAGGTTTTACCCTTCACAAACGGCTTTCTCCTCAAGCCTAGCGCAGCACTGCAGGAGACCCAAGAACAGTCGACAAAAAGGAGGTTCTGAGGGGGTTAGAGCACCGGTGTCAAAGTCAAGGCCCGGGGGCCAGATCCGGCCCGCCACCTCATTTTATGTGGCCCGCAAAAGCAAATGAACTTCCTTGAAGCTTGCTTCAATCTGTACCGAAATCTCAAATTGTCATATGCAATAAATAACGGTGACATTTTGCAATAACTTTGTGACCCGCTTTACACTCACTTGAACAATAACTGAACAAATACTTGACTGATTTAAAAAATAGTGAGCCATCTTTTTGTGTGTGTGTGTGTGTGTGTGTGTGTGTGTGTGTGTGTGTGTGTGTGTGTGTGTGTGTGTGTGTGTACGTGTACAAGTAATAATATGATGTAATGATTCAACATGTATTCGGGTTCACTGTCGTAACAGCCCTCCAATGGAAGACGGAACTCCAAAGTGGCCCGCGACAAAAATGAGTTTGACACCCCTGGGTTAGAGTCTGATGACCTCTGCCAAATGCAAACGAATGACATTTTTACAAAGTTAGCAAAACTAACGGAACACATCGTTTCTATCGCGTGTCCAGTATATTTTTCAGTACGAGCACTTTGGAAGTTAATAAAAGGGGGGGGGGGGGACTATATGCAAGTTCTTTCCCAGCTTTAGCAAAACGGTTGTTGTATATCATTGACAATAAACATTCCTTTTGACTTTTGTGAGGAAGCACGTTCGAGTCTTGTCCTTATTTTTCTTTTTATAAGTAGGGGTGGAATCAGTATTTCTGTTAGGCTTTTTTGTACACAAGAACCTGTACTTGAACTTAAAGTTTGCAACTTTCAACAAGAAAATTACTTTTTGACATATTCATTCATTATGACTTGACAGTGGTACATAATAAATATGACCTGTGCCTTCAATTTGATATACATGTACATTCTCACAAAAACCTGCAGTGTTAGTAATGATGTACCATATAATTTTTTCTACAGTGTCATGGTATCACGGACCAGATATCCATTAGCAACAAGACCCAGAAGAGCTTCCAGGATTTGGAGGCTCAGCATGAGAAATTATAAGAGAAAGGAAATAACAGAGCTCGAGTAAAGACAACATCGCTTCCACTTTTCTCTCTGCATTAATTCAATATTGCCTCGGGGCAGATAAGGTGCTTACTGGATGGAAAAGAAGTCGTGCAGTCAAATACAGTCGACCTCAGATTCTTCTGCTAAACAAGATTGCAAACATGAACAATGAGAAAAAGCTGCTTGGACTCTGTCTCAGCCCCGGAGCTGTCCTGTGCATTCACAAACTCATTTTCTGGATGTTGATTCGGAAATGGATTGCAGCCAAAACACTCGAGGCCACAAAAGAGCAGAATGTTACACGGTTCAACAACTGGTCCACTCAGATATAATGTGCAAAGAAACAAATCTCCATTGTCATTTGATTTACTCTTCTGTATAACAAATATTATGCTAGTTTTGTTTTCCATTTGAGTTATGACGGAGTGCATAAAATGTGACATTTGTGCTCCCTTAGCTACATTTGAACAATATCCTTTATGCATGTCTAGCATAAGGTTAAAAAAATGATGCTCATTTATACTTGCACATAAAATGTAATCTGAAAAGTAATTCAACTCGATACAATTTCACCCCCCCCCCAAGATTAAATGTTTCCATCACAAATGTTACGTCAGTAATACATACATGGCATATATGTGCATTGGAGAGCCTACATGATATATTATACATAGTACAGTATATAATAGGTTGGTGTATGATTAATTTGTTTGTAAAATCGACATACACTATTTTAAGTTTTCACTTTTTTTTTTTTTTTTTTAAATAACGTCCCTAAAAAAGGTCCCTATTTTCACGCCCCTCTTTATATGCAGTATGTCAAGATTGAATGAGTCATTTTGAAAGGGGCTCTTCACCTTGCCCCACTTTGTGATATCGCTTAAAGCCTGTAAACATTCCATCAAAATGTCTCGCTAAAGATAATTCCTGGATCTGCGCTGTGGTTTGGATCCGCTCAAAATGCGACAGTTTCCTCCATTACTCACGCTCAGCCCTGTCAGGATTTATGAAAATCAAGCTGCCTGCTAGTTTTTGTATAATCCTGCTGACAGTCAGACAAACAAGCCGGGGAGATGCTAACTATAATCTCTTTGGGCGAAGGTAATTAATTACTTCAATATATCTTTGCCGCTGTGATGTCACGTCATCTAAACTGCGAGTCCATTTAATGTCTGGTCTTGTCTCACAAAAAAAAAAAAAAATCACTATGAGGCTGTGGCAATAGGTAAGAAAGACCTTTTTTGAGGGGCATGACGGAAGAGCTTCGGAGCATGGCACCTCTCATAACACCAGTAACACAGAAAAAAGTCGAAGAAACTTGCGATTGAAATTCATTAATATCCTTTCATAAAATCCTTTTTCACAGACTCAGAAAAATACTTGCCTGCGCATGTTCCTATAGCATTTATGTGTGAATATTTGTTATTTGAAGTAATATCACTCCTGCAACTCAATGCTAATTTTCCATTAGCCTCTTAATGCGAATTCGCTGCTAGCATTAGCATTAGCGATATTTGCAAAAGTATGGTTTGTATTTAATAACGTGATGTGTGTATTTCTTTTTGTAGTGTGTTTAATTTTACAGTAAAATCCAACTGTGGTGTCATTACGCTACATCCAAGCAACACAGTCTATTCATGGTACATTCACGACGCAATTTGCACCCAAAAAAATTAGAAGAAGAAACTTGCAATTGAAATGCATTAATATCCTCTCATAAAATCCCTTTTCACAGACTCAAAAAAATACTTGCCTGCGCATGTTCAGCTAGCATTTATGTGTGAATATTTGTTACTTGAAGAAATATCACTCCTGGAACTCAGTTCTAATTTTCCATTAGCCTCTCAATGCGAATTCGCTGCTAGCATTAGCATGAGCGATATTTGCAAAATAAAGTATGTTTTGTGTTTAATTATACAATGTGTGTATTTATTTTTGGAGTGTGTTTAATTTTACAGTAAAATCTAACTGTGGTATCATTACGCCCAGCCCTGTACTGAACAACAATAATGAACTTATAACTTGTACATACATGTGACCGATTTCTACCGCTGCTGAAAAGTACTTGATATTTGGAAGGTGCGCCACACATGAAAGCTCGCCTTGGCCCTGTGATTACGACTGCATTAGCGTCTGGGTCCTTCTATGCAGCTCATAAGAACAAAGAGGACGGAATCAGCTTCAAAAGACAACAGATCAATAAGGAGAAGTGCACTGTCCATCTTGGAGTGTGATGATGGAGGGCGCTAATAAAGTTTAGCATGCGTCTGACGCTGTTACAAAGAAAGGAGCAGGGACACACTTGGCATTAAACAACTGCGGGACACGCCGCAGCTTCTCTGTTGCCCCTCTCTTGTCAGTCGTCCTGCAAGAGCAATCGGGTGTGATTAGTTTGGGGAATAACGGCTACTGCTTAATCAGCAGGTCAATAGACAACGTTCCGCTTCATTCCTCACATCTTTGCCACTGCTAATGTAACAATTTGCTGAGCGATCATGATTCGGGAGAGCGGCACGGACACGAAGCACACGCGATCATAGCTAAAAGTTCACGCTCACCCTCTTCTTTGGTGAGGCAGATGTTAAAAATAAAGGCAAACGTTACATAAATGCGTACGACTTGTTGTATTATCCCTGCAGGCTTGCAACAGAGTGTAAAGTTCATTTAGTCAGGTTAATGCTAATCTTTGGCTGTGTGCAGGGGGAGGGAATCTGGTTTTAAGACTGCAGGCAAGAGGAACATCTGTTTGCAAAGACTAATCCTAATATAGCGAGCTGCAGCTATTCAGTCTTTATCAAAAGCAAGCAGAGTCGTGCCTCCGCTAATTTCGGGAGAGCACATGGCGCGAACACACATACACACGGCATTGGGGCAGAGGGACGTGTAAATCTCAGCACCACACGCTGAGAGAGATGAGCGGGACAGGAAGCGGCGGCGACCATTTGACCGGGGAATAGGGAAGAATTAAGGCCCAAATTATGTAAAGACTTAAAAATGGGATCAGATAATATGAGCCTGCCGTTTCTTCATTGAAAAAGCTCACGTGTCAGTGATGTCACATCCTCTTATAATAAATTGAAATCATGAATGACATAATGACTCACTCTGAATAGTAGCTTGGAAGTCTAAATTTGAATTTACTTTTTACATGAATAATCAATACTTTTTCCCAGTTCCAAAAGTGACACACAGAGTTAATGCCTAAATGACTGCATTGACCTAAAAGGAGAAATCAATCAATATGATTCGTGGAAAAGGGCTGCAACAATGTGTCTTGTGTGTCCGAAATATGAGCGTGGACTATTCATATTGGAATAGACCATGGAATATGATTTACACAAAACACATTTGGACATTTATCCCACATCCAAAGTCTATTTACCAGGGATGGCGTAGTACACATTGCAGACCCTTATTTCAAAGCATTGTGAAATCATGCCACCAAAGCTTATGGAAAAAAAAAATCTGAAATCGAGTATGTCCCCCTTGTACTGGCGTTTTCATATGCGTCAGGAAGAATGAAAAGTCCCCAGAATTATCC